TTATTATTCGACTCAAACATCAGGGTGAGCGGCAAAGACAGTGCCATTAGCAAATTGGCTGCAAGACATTATTTAAATCAAAATTAAAGCAAGATCTAATTATCAGATGTGGAGATGTTGACTTCATTAGTATTTGGTGGAGACTTCCGAAGCAGTTAATTTTCAACCTCAGCTGACAGAAAGGCTTTAAAAGTGCTCACAGTAGAGAGCTGGGTTATTATATAGATACTAATTGTGTGATAAAGATGACAAATGGTGTGTTGCTAGTTTAGAAAATGAAGTGCAGGTTTAGTTCACATCCAAAACTTGACAAGCTCAGTCTGAATGATTTACTGCACTCCTTACTGAATATGGTGGGTTTATAAAAATACAAAACCATGTATTGTCATGTATAATATATTTTTGTTTGTGCCAACAGAAAGGATCTGGTTAAAAGGTGAAAATACAAACAAATCAGACCACAACATGCCATTTTCATACCAACAACAACTTAAAAAGGGAGTTAGCCATGTTACAAAAAACCCACAATTCCAATTTGAGAGTAGAAAAGAAAATTATGGCCCACTGTGAGAGCAGGAGTTACCTTCTTTAAAACATTTATGCACATTTATTGACATGGCTCCATAGGGAACAATGGCTCCTATGCGTTTGTTATTATTGCATTTTCTGTGTTCCGAGTTTTATTCTCCGTAAAGTCCTTCCGAACGGCTGCTTTACTGATGTAGGGCTTTACAAATAATAAATGTAATTGAAATGTGAATTAATTGAGAGAAATAAAGTCATTGTCAGGTACAACTAAGGAAATGGAACCTTTAGCTAATTAACTACTTAATAACTGTCTTGACTTATTAATTCATACATGAATTAATGAATAACATGACATTTTATGCAGGTTATAAGTTGTGCTGAATTCACTGGTGTTCCAAATTAAATCCAATATCAATCGAATTATGTATTACAAAATTGGGTCCAGTTTTCCGATATACAAATGACTGAAGTTACTTAGTGTAATCGCATAATTACTGTATGGAAAGTGTCCTAAGTAGAATAGCTGTTTCTTTGGTGCCTAAAGGGTTAACACCATCTCCAAATGCTGACATGAAGATCACCGTAGATTCCTTAAATGTAGGGTGTAAAGGGTGTAAATGAAAATGAAGAGAAATGTATGAATAGACGCAAAAATCAATTTAGCCCATTTTAGAGGATGCTCAATCTGTTGAATTTTGGCCCTATTCCCTCCGGAGCTGATGTCAGCTTTTGACATCTCTAATTCCTCTTCACAGGTTCTCTCAGTGTCACAAGCCGCCCCAAGCCGGTTTGTGATTGGAGCACATGTGTGAAAGAGCTTTGACAACTGCTGAAAATGCAAGGCGGATTTATTCATGTCAGAGTGAATATTATTCCTAAAGCGGAGGAAGAGGTAGACTGTTACTATCCTCCATGCCTGCTCCTCTCTGTGTGATCTGCCTGAAAATGTCGGCAGTCATAGGAACGTGAAGCAGCTCGCAGCACAAGCACGATTTGGCAGACGTTTTCATATTCAGTGTGAGGAGAGAGGGAGGTGAACTGTTTCATACACTGAAAAAGAGCTCTGGGGGTTACATTAACTATAGTTATCTACTTATAACACCTACACTTTAGTGCAAGACGACATCAGAACCAAAAAGTAAATCGTTTTTGACCAACACCTGCTTTACAACATGCAACTTGCTCCATTATTGCTTTTCACTCCTTTGCATTACACTTCTGCGCTGTATTTACACCTCAAAGAAAAAAAGCGTTTTACTTCAGTTGGTTATCACAGTTATTTGAGGAAATAAGAAATTATACTGAAACTCAGGATGATTTGAGTGGAACAGAACAACATTTGCCTCCCATACAACTCCAAAGTGCTCTTGATATAATGATAAATAAAATAGTGAATCATAAACATTACTTTGGTCGGAGTAGTTTGGTCTGTTCACTGCTGTCATTCTCTGCTTGTTTCTCCCCATGTCTAAGCAGGTTTCCTCAGGGTGCTTTGGTTTCCCCCACCCAAAACATGCACCATTGAAAATACCCAAGAGAAAGGGTGTCTAAAAGGGTCCTCAGACACAGAACTGTAGTGACCACAGGGTGCCCTCGTGGTATTGGGACGATGGGTCAAATGCAGAGGACAAATTGTCCTACTGCGACGATGGAAGTAACCTCAAAAGTATGGCTGCACGATATATTGAAAAAAATGTGTTATCGCGATATTGGTGCATGCAAAAAGATGAACAATAAAAAAGTCGACAAAAAAAAACTGACACATCAACATTCAACAAGAACAACAAACAGACAAACAAACAAAAAAGTATATGAATATGTGTGTTTGAATGTCATTAATGTTGTGCTTATTTTTTGGTATTTGCGTTTCAATGCAGATTGCAATTTTTTGTGAAAGACAAAAATATCGCAATAATATGGTTATCGAAATACTAAACACTCATATCGAATATCGCTCTAATTTCCAAAATCATGCAGCCCTACTCAAAAGGTAGTTTTCTGTATCTCATGCCATACCGTCAAAAAATCTAGGCCAAACAACAATATTTAATCGTTCCGAATAGTTATACTACGGGGATCAATAAAGTATCTATCTATCTAACTAACTGCAGGCTTTTGACACATAATTAGACTCGTATGTGACTGTTGTTAACATTTACATTTTTACATCCTCTATGAAACACTTTGGGAACTTTTTTGGGCTGTTGGATAGTGCTTTGCAAATTTATTTTGATTGATTGATTGATTGACATGTTTTAAACCAAGCTAAAAGCACCACCAGGATAATTGATCATTTAGGCTTCATGATAAATAAATGAATATCCTAACATAACATGAATGATTTGCTCTTTTCCCCAATACGCGTTTAACTACAACTGGATACATCTGAACACACTGAAACATAGACGAACAGACATCAAGACACCACATCCGTTATAGACTAAGAGTGCCCTCTATAGCCCTCTATAGCCCCCTCCATGGCCTGTCCTCTGCTCCCACGCACCCTCCTTCCTCTCACCACATGATCCAGGCTTCGGTCCAATATCTCGACACCGTTATCTGCTTGGTCAGATTGTGCTCTATTCTAGTACAGTGTTCCTCTGGGAGACAAAAGACACTCATTGATTCAGCTCATCTCTTTGTGATGGGCCAAACCAGCTCTATTAGTCCAGTCCTGAAGAGGAGAGGGGAAACCAGAGCGCTCTGACAGAACAGATGAATGAAGATGAGCTCTGGTCTAAATAAAAAGGCAAGGGAAGAAGATGTATTACCACTATATCACTCCTCTATGGCTTAGGTTACTCATGTGGACTGTCAATATGCTTTACAGTAAGTTGGACTCCTTAAAGGAAAAGGCTGTTTAAAAGCTTGCATTGATCTGAAGGATTTTGATACTCTTAAAAGCAGCAAATTAGATTTTGGTGTGGCAGCTCAGGTTGCTCTTAGCTTAATCATATATTGCAAGAGGCAAGCGCTTACCAGCATTCACTAGATGTTTAATGCATTTAAGTCTGAGGTAAAGCTAAGGCAAAAAATACACATTCAGTTTACGTTTATTGATTATCGCAACTAATCGATTAATGAAATAGTTGGTAATCGATTCATCTTTTTGAACCATGGACAGACTTAACAATGCAGTGAGCTTTTAATACACAGTTGTCATGTACAACTGAATGACATTGTAATATTTTTTTTCCTTGTCATTATGAAGATGTCCTCAACATTTACTTTGCTATGATTAAATTGAAAATATCCTATATCACCCACATTGTGTGGTCAAGAGAAACATATGATACTGATCTAGTCCATTGTTAATACAAGTGTGTAATAATCCTAATTTAAAATATAAGAAGTAATAATATGATATATATATATAATATTGTTCATGTTTAACAAACTTTAGGCATAATAGAGAATGTGACAAACATGAGATGATCATTTGTCGACTAGAAGAAAAAAATGTTCATGCAAAAAAAGAGAGTTTGGTTATAAGTCTACAAAAGGAAAAACATTGTAAAACTGTAAATAAATACAAAATGTACTGCCATGACTGACCCTGTTCTGAGTTTTGTCATGCAAATTCGAAATCAAATTGAAACGACAAGTTCAATACCAATCAACGGACAAGAACCAACTGTGAAGTAATTTTCCAATTTCAACCCCATAGTTACACCTGATTGCCAATACTGAGACAGACAGAAGGCATACCTTCTCCCCTGGCTCCAGAAATTATGTCATAATGTCAAGAATAATCCCAGATTCTTGTATGCAAACAGCACAACCTAGAGGTGATTGTGAGAACAACATGCTGCACTAAGTTAACTGCCTTTATGATTACTGACAAAGTGCTTTCATTTCAAATAAGTGAATACAATAGATGTGAACCTCAATCCTCGTGGAGCTCTTTAAAAGCAGCCTTTTAAGTCACTGGCAAAGCTGGTCTATTCTCATCAGTCTGCATTATCTAAACCACTTTGTCTGCCATAATAGGGTTCAAACAATTAACACATCTGACATTACCTATTGGAATGATATATCTGAAGATTGAGGGGAGCTGGGCAGGGAGTTTCTTTTTATAAAACGGGCAATGGTCACCCAATAGGAGGAGATGACAGCACTGCTTATCAAGGTGCCTAAATGCAACAGATATCAGGCCAGCTGGGATGGAGCAAGAGAGTTACACCCTCTTTCATCTCCAAAAACCCGTGCGCCCTAACTGCATTTGTCCATAATGAAACCACAAATGAGTGGCTAAAGCAAAGCACTGGTGATTCTCCACTCACACACTACTTTGACATTTCAATCACGCATGGGGAGACATGTTTTGGTCAGGCTCAAAAGCGCACCATATGAAAAGTGCCTTGCGCCAAATCGCAATATATATATTACGTGAAAAGCTTAGCAAACAATGTCAAAACAACCCAAAACTGATAACAACGCGGGGGAAAGGCTTGGCTGTCACACGATCTGTCATGAAATGCGCAGAGGAGAAAACAGAGGGGGGTATCCTTGCCTTGAAATCCGAAGAGGAAAGCTGCGCCGGGGATCCAAACGCTGTAAATCCAGAAGTAATGCATGTTTGTCCTGTTTGTCAGCTGCAGCGGCGCCTCCAATCTCCGAAACTCTTGGTGTCTCCTCTTGACGGGAACGGACGTCCAACCGGTGTCGCCTTGGCCTCGTGGCACGGTCTTCGTGATAAACACAGTCTAAAAGTGGAACCAGCAAAGCACCCGAGCCGCGACGCGCAAGTACGAAGGAGGCGCTGCGTGGAGAGGATGGATGGAAGAGACGCGTTTGGACAGCGTGCGTCTTCTGTCCAATAGTGCCATCTAGTGTTCACTATCGACCCTCAAGCCTCGGTGGTGGATCAGCAGGAAGACCAACGAAGCACTGTACACAAAGTGGCAAATATGTCGTCCCAGTGGAGCCGGAGGAAGCGTGTCTGGAATGAATCAGGGTCAATTGAGGTTGTCATGGTGATTTCAGTCAAAGCATTGGGCTCAAGAATCAGCAGCAATAAATCCACTGAATGTTGATTACAAAAGACAAGCTGGCTCCCCGTGGCCACAGAACACACTTTAGAAATCATTATCTCATTATTTAATATCAGATGTAATTTTGATTCATTTTGTGCAAATTGGGTTTTACATTAGGTACTGCCTAGTCGACTGTGTCACTCTGTTTAATTAGATCTTAATACAGTTGATATATGACGAGAAAGCATTTTCACAAAGGCAAAACTTCACTGTTGTTGGTGTCAAAGAGGTACATTAAAAAATAGACTATTGCTAGCAACATGGCTACATTTTAGATCCATGTAACATCAAAGCATTTCTATCTCAGGACACAAATGGCATGTTTAGACGGTCTGCTGGATTTGGCACCACCTGCATGTGAGAACTGTCAGATGTTAGACACTAAGCAGGGCAGTGCCTGGTCAGTATTACGATGGGAGACCCGATCAGGAATACAAGGTGCCACAGTGATATAGCTGTGGTTTTAAACTGTCATTGTCCTCACGCACATTGCCCAATCTGTGTGTGCGTGGGTGTGTGTGTGTGTGTAGCATTGATGGTCGTCGTAGGGGCCAATGGCATGTACTGGTATAGGCTTGCTGACAGAACCACAGCTGTAATTGATATGACATATGTTTGTCATCCCCCATATGTTTTAAATTAAGTGGTGTTTTTAGTGCACCCACGTCCCCTTCAACTACAGCAAGTGTGAACAGACACAGAGACTATAATTATAAAAACAATGTCAGTGAGTTTGGCCAAAGAGGAGCTGAGCTGTGACAGTGACTAGGGAAATATTATGCCTAGCACGACTTGGTCAGAGAATTTCCTTGGCTGTCTGTGGTGAACCAGCAGCCGGTTATGCCCATAGGGATTGAAGGTTGGCCATTTTGGATATGGTTTTGAATATAAAGCACACAATACAGTCAGTTTGATCACTGAAAAGAAAATGTGCAGACAGTCAATAATACATGACTTCTGGATAACAATAAAGGTGGATTTAACTGTACAAAAACTCTTACACTTAACCATAACACTTAATCTAAACACTAACAATTAAAACATGTTTTATTATTGCCGTTGGCTTCAAACACAGGCATAAATTAAATCTAGCTCCATGGCTTAGGCTATCTAGCATTGTAAATCATGTTTTTAAATTAATTTCACACACAACATATAATCTCAATAGCCTCACAGTGATTATTACATTAGCATTCATTGAAATTAATCCAATGGCATCGTGACGCCATTGAAAAATGATCACGCATTCACTGGAGCCTAATGTGTGTCATTGCTACACAAGCATTTAGCAATACGAAGCAGCGTACACAATCTCATATTCATTAATGACTGCCAAATGATTTGTAAGCATAAATAATTAAAATGTGGCTCCTGTTAATCACTGTTTAGCTGGTAGGAGACAGCTCAGGGGGTTGTCATCCTTCCATATTTCCCCGGTTTCTCCTGGGGTGGTGCAGTGCAGATGGTACTTTGGAAATTGCCAATATAGCACCTTTGCCATCGTCAAAGGCATCCTTGCGGGGCACATTTCATCAAATACAAGCACAGAGCTGTGTATGGTCCATTTGGTTTCTTTGTATCCAACACAAAATGACCCGGTGCATGGCAAAAGAAGATCTATCTTAAGGAAATTTGAGTCATTTTGAATCTCTGCTTTTATCTGATGAAATTGTTTTTCTCCCCGAGGCTCTTGTTATAGTGCATGTAAACATCAGAATTGGATGGAAGATTATATCGCAGTAGCGCAGAGAGTACATGAATTTACTCTAAAGCATTGTGTTGTAATTACAAAAAACATCAGTAATGTAGAACATGTCTAAAATCATCCGTTAAAGCCCACCAGAAAAGAGTGTAAATGCTTATCTTTTATATAGATAAATGACACAAAACTCATCCCCTATACAAGTCAGTATTAAATATTTATCAGTGTTTCTTTATGAGAGAAAGAGCACAACAGTCAATGTATTCAATTTGAGGTGTTTTACTGAACAGCACCCTGAATAATATTCATACTTGACCTTCACCAACCTTGATACTTGACTTACCTGCCTGTTTCCATGGAATTAGAAATATTTAATGCAGGAAAATTCACATTAATGTATCTGCAGGCCAGTGTTTAGGAGATTGTTAGAGTGTATAAGTGTGCATTGTACCACCACTTTTGAAAAACATCCTTAGCTTTACTTTTTGATGGCATTTGCTATACGGGGGAAACTTGGAAAATTAGAATTTCATGCCATCAGTCCATTCACTCGTGATATAGTAGTATTTATAGATATTTTTTAATTACTAATGATACTAACTATTTATAGATATATATATATCAATCCTTTTTATGTTACAATGTTGCTAATTGGCTCACAGCTTGCAAAAGCCTCAAAAAAACTTCAAGTGGTACAGTCATACAAAAACCTTGGAGTCCACCTGGACCACAGACTGGGCTGTCATCTTAGGCCAATGTTGTCTATAAAAAAGGTCAGAGCAGACTTTTCTTCCTGAGAAGACTGAGGTTCTTTAATGTGAGCAGTCAGATGTTGCACATATTTTATAGCCTGACTCTCGCCAGACTTTTGTAGTTCCTCCATGCTCCACCAGAGGTGTTTCACTGAACACAAGGATCTGGGATCAACGCCAACGCAAACTCCTTCAGGAGATCAACAAATAATCAGCCAATCAGAATCGCTGGGCTAAATGTCATAGATGTGAAGTAACACCGAAGTGACTGTTTGAGACAAACAACAATGGCGGCAGGCAGAGAGGAGGCGGGTGTTTACATTGATTCTGCTATTGTAACTGTTTTGTCAAATGTATTGGATATTAATTCTTTAAAAGATGAACAGAGAACGGCTTTGAGAGTGTCTTTGATTTTCCCTATCAAGCAAAAACGGCGTAAGCATATTCACCACAGCCCCTCCCGAACGCTCAACAAATTCAAATCTACTTCTATTAAACGTTTGTCTATACCTTTTTCGTTGAAGACTTTGTGATATTATTTATGCACATGTTTTTTTTTAGCAAAAATGACATTGATTGTCTACTGACATTGCTGCGTTCCATCCATCCATCAATTTTCTTCCCCTTAATCTATTTCTGGGTTGGGGGGTTGGCAGTCAGAGCTGCACCCAGTACACAGAGCACCAGCCCGCTGCGTTGTTTTAGTAAAAGTAATTTTTTCACTCTGTCATTATCCAATATGTTGCCTGTTTATTTCCCAGGGTCGCTTTCATCAGAGTCACGGGTTGATTTCGATTTGAGTGGTTGAAGGAACATGTCATTCAAGATAACAGACAAGTGGTTTATCAATCACATACAGGGATTTTTTTTTTTTTACAAGGCCCGGCCCTCTAAAATTCATCCACTATGAAGGACCCAGACCTTTGTGCGAAGCTCAGCGAACTACAAGGGTCTGACAAGAGTCAGGCTACATATTTTACCAGTCTGTGGTAGCTAGTGTCGAGTTCTTTGGGGTTGCGTGTAGGGGCGGCAGTCTGACCTCGAGAGAAACCGGCTCAACAGGCTGATCAGGAAATGTGTCTCTGTGACGGGGAGAAGTGTGGACTCTGTGGGAGCTGTGCTGGAGAGAAGGATGAGGGCTATAATACAGGGCATCCTGGGTAACTTCAGCCACCCTCTGCATGACACTATGGCCGCTCAGAGGAGTAATCGAAGCAACAGGCTCCTATCACTGCGCTGCCGAACGGAACATTTCAAAAGATCCTTTGTTCCTTCGGCTGTCAGACTGTACAACAAACCTGGATGAGTCTTCTGCTGCTGGACAGCTGAATTTCTCCTACGGGGATCAATAAAGTATCTATCTATATCTATCTATCATAGAAAAGTAGTTGTATGTACTGTATGTAATAAATTAGGCTGTGGTCACATGCACAGCCTAAAGCCCAGTTAAAGTGGGCCTGAGCCCACTTTGTGATTGGATCCGGGCTTTAGGTGCTATGTGACCATGGCAAGTGGGCTTGGGCATGGTTGAGAGAGGTGGGCCACGGCATGCATTGTAAAGCCCAGATGTGTGGGGTAAATGTAGCGGGTGGTGGGGAGTGGGGGATAAGGTGTGGTGGGGACTTGATATTGGGCGCGCATTTTTACATACGTCTCTCCCTGCACTTTTGTATTCTCCGCTTGTGTTAAACCTTTCATATAAGCCCCCGGACCGTGGTCAAGGGGCGCAGGGGAGTGTGTCGGTCCTGGGCCAAAGGGATGCGTTTCCTACGGGAATAACTCCCTTCTGTCCTCCTGACCCTCGCTCTCGGTGTGGGGCTATTGCAATAACACTTCAGACATTCAAAAATCAGTCTTTATTTAATCGCCAGAACACACCAACACACATTTGTATCCTTCCTGGCTCCGGTCGCTCTGCTGGTACGCCACACAGGCGCCACACACACACACACACACACACACTTGTTACCCACTGAACTGCTGCACTGTGGACAAGTGTGAGATGTGTCTTTCCCCACCGTGCCGCCCCGGCACGGTGGCTGAGTGGATAGCACTCTCGCCTCTCAGCAAGAAGGTCCTGGGTTCGAATCCCGGTCGGACCAGGGCCTTTCTGAGTGGAGTTTGCATGTTCTCCCCGTGTCTGCGTAGGTTTCCTCCGGGTACTCCGGTTTCCCCTACCACTAAAAACATGTCCAATAGTTCTGGCATGCGCCTCCTGTACTGGAGACCCCGCTCCCATCTCTGTGTGGAGTGAGAGACAAATGCCCAAAAATTAACAATTGTAAACCGCTTTGAGACTCAGATCTGCAGTGAAAAGGCGGTATATAAATAAA